GGTATAGAATAAAAACGATTTATCGACGATTACCCTGATTAAGAACTGAGGTCTATTTATATTGTCCAGCGGCATTTTTTTAACCCATAAAACTAACGGGAGTAGGTTTCCCATGCGCTGTTGTTGCCACTCGTATTACTAACAATACATAACAATCAATACCTTGTTATTGTGATTAAAAGCCAGCTTGATAGGTTTATTCAGGGAACCAGATACACGATCATGAATAGTGACTGAAACAATGCTTGTACCACTCCTCCGAAGCCTACTTCCGGCGCTCTGATTATTACTGGGTCCATCTACTGGAAGCCTAAGGACATTTTCAAGTGTTCTGTAGGTAATGGTGGACATGCAAGTTTTCACTGTGTCCGAGATCGCTGAGCCAGGAACAAGGATTGTTGCGCCATATTGAGCGAAGTCAACCTTCAACTAGGAATGAAAAATGCAAATACATATTCACTCAGACCGAAAGGTCACGAAATTAATGAAATATGTCATTAAAACCGATTCATAGTTACGGAAATGTTCCTGAATTAACTAACATTATGGTTCAAAGCAGTCTAAAAAGATTTAACATCGACCTTTGACTTGCCTCATGTTTTGGGTTCCAGCGATCAACTCTAAGAGCGATGTTTCTTGATAATAACTCCGATTTATTAGTTGAGTTACCAAGGTTACTGTTCACTTGAAAAGCAAAGTCGTCCATAGTCTTCAGAAGTATGTCAGTGATGTTTTCCCTTTTCTGGATTTTAATAAGTCAAGTTTAAGATAATAAATTTTCTGCAGTGAATGCAAACAATCGGTGAATGGGCCTATGAAGGGTTCCAAAAATAGCCTTGCAAAATTTAAATCCATTTGTATTTTTGTCCATTAAAGATTAAACAGTCAGGTATTCTTAATTAATAAAAAGAGGGTTTAAAATCACTTTGGGAGATCTTGCTATAAGTATGTTATCTTACATTGGGTTCAGGCCGTTTGTTTAAAAAGCTTCTAGCACTCAACCGGGATTTAAATAATGATTACTCTTGGTCTAAATTTCTCTTGTTTGAGGCTTCATTAGTGCCACGTTCCATCCTAACGTAAAGCAAAAATGAACCGAGGAAACAAAAAATAAACAAAAACAAAAGTAACATTTCACAAGAACCTTGGTTTGCTAAATTATGCTTTGGACTACCCATGCCGGTCCTTGGCATATCACCTTACCAAATGAAAAATAAAAAAAAAATTGAGTATACTTCATCATGAGAACTATGGACTTATCCGACATATAATCATATAACGTGTGGAACTTGTTGTCTCTCTTTAGAAGAATAAAGTGATGGCTAAAGGATTATTTACCGTTCTGTTTCAATCATGAAAGAGAAAAATATAGCTGGTGATAGGCAAACAAAACAAAGAAAAAAAATTCAAACTTTTCTCAGGATCAGCAAATTACCTCCTGCAACAGCAACCATGTTTTTGTATTTTTCTCATCCAGTAAATTACTTGCCACTCTCACGATGTTTTGTTGGTCCGATGTTGCGCCGATCGCGCTGTTGTTTTTTATCGAGTTATACTGCACAAGTTGTTTGAGCATATCCACGGAGAGAGAAAGTTCGCTTAAGTTGAGTTTAAGCTCGTCCCCAGTCTTTGTCAAATTGAGAAATTTTGTGATGACCGTGCTTAAGTGGGTGGAAGGGTAACTACCGGTGATAATGGCATCAACCTGGTCGACAAGTTAAGAGTGGTTAGAAAGAAAAAAAAAACATGATCGCTTCAAGATACACTTCTATTCACGAAGATTTTTATATTACCGCCTCAAGGTTCGGAATGGTCATGGTAACGAAATGCGACGTCACAAAAGGTAACGTGATGGCAAAATATTTTGAAATGAAAGTGCTAACTTGCTCTCATTTTTAAGGAAAATAACCCCCCTTCTAACCGACACAAACGGTTTTATTCTAAGTTTTGGAAAAAATCTCTAATGGCGGCATTTTGAACACCATCCTGGCTGGGGTTGTTCCCATGGTGCGATGCAGAGCAATACAATAAAGGTTTCCTTCTTAGTTTCTTTATCGAAACTTGTACCTAAATTGTAATGTAAGATTCTAGAAGGTATCCATTCGACAATTTCTCGGGATTTTTCGTTGGGAGAAGACCTGCAGCGACTGTTTATTTATGAACAAACTTCCATCATGTAGTTTGATAGTTTTCTGGTGGGAAGTTATCAAAGGAACAAAAAAGCCTCATCAAACAGAAGCCTCGACCAATGTACTCGACTCTGTTTTTCCGGCTCACGCCTAAAACAAATCAAACTTGGTATTAGCTTAAAAAACACCCAAGATTTGTATACCTCTTTCTGTAGATCTGTAATTCCGTTTGATTGCTCTGTTGATCAACATGAGGTAATATGTGAATATAAAAAACCATACATGCTTACATATCTTTATTGTTATAGATTTAGTAATTGTGGTTGTAAAAGGTAGCAGTATTTTAATGTTAGTCTCCGAATATGTCTTGTAGGTCAAAATTTCAAAGTATTTCTTTGAACTTTCTTTTGAAATTTATCGGGGAAAGAAAACCCCAAGGAAACGAAGAAGCAAATGATACAGGTCAGTTAAAATCGGTCGAGTCTAACCTCTGACGCATCGCAACTTTGGGAAATTAAAGATTCTCCTAGAAAGTCTATTTTTGTCTCTTTTTGTATAAAGAAATAGTTGGACAACAATATAATTACCGTTTTTAGGAAGATGTTTACAGCATCTGAACTTGTCAATACAGTTAAGTTCATCGCAGTTACTTTTGTAGAGACCGCTCATGTAATAACCATTCTTCTGGCATTCACTCCAACCTTCGTTGTTGAATGAAATAGCAACATCTTCATCGTAACAGTCTTCATAACTGCTGGGATGATCCGTTGGATGGCAACATCTTGCCTCATCGATGTGATTCAAAAATGAACGAAAGGGACGATGAGATCCAGTTCTGATGCCATTCATGTAAAAGCCTTTTGGACATAAAGCCCAGATATTATGTCTTAAAAAAAGGGAACAAAAATAAATTGAGCCTGAAATTTCTTGGTTTCTACTTTTTTGGGGGTATTACTTTTGGCGAAATTGGCATTGATCAAAGTTATTATGTTGGAGTGTGACATAGAAAAGGCGCGACATTCAAGAAGAGTTTGGCTCACCCATCCAACGTGCGTGACCAGTTTGCATTCACACATCTTGAAGGCTGACCGGCGTAACGCAGCTCCGCAGCATCGCAGCATTTTCCTCGTTCCAGGCGTCCAACTCTCTCATCTCCGGTTTTGTTTGGACTCCTCCAGAATCCCTTTAGGTAGGTGTTATTTCTTGGACATACCGACCATCCTGGGTTCCTATCCAGGCTTCGCTCCCAGTGGGCGATGTCACATCCCTCGCTCAAGACACGATGGACCATAACGAATATCAGCATCAAACTGATCAAATGAATGATGAACACAAATTGCATCCTACTTTCACTTTACCTCGATGTGACACTGCAAAGAGAAAGTTCAGTGCTATGAATTAACTTTAGGGAAGAAATCTCTTAACCTCTGAATATCCTTTGACATATATTTTTCCACCTAATTTGTGCCAGAAATCAACTCCCTGACTCAACTCTCTAGGTCAACCGTAACAATCGAAGCTTACTTATGGCGCATAGCGAGGCCCTGTTTGCTAACTTTAATATGGGATGAAAAATGATAACGTTTGATAATTGTAGAGTTGCCACAATTGTGGTCGAATTGAGTGAGTGAGTAAATAACAATAGTGACAATAGAATTCTAATCTTTACCCAAGTTTGACCCAATGTTTCCCGGTGCTACTTATTGTTTGTTTTGAGTACTACAAAAGACAATAAAAATTCACAATCATTTCAGGATGATGCGTGAAAAAAATACTGCTTTTCCTTGCAGAAATATCTAAAAGGTGCCATCGACACATCATGGAAACTTTTTTTCTTTCAAAAGAGAGTGTAACCGAAGTCACGCGTAACTGTGTTCATCACTTATTTAAAAACGTCCACACGCCAAGGCTACTCAACATGAATAGGAAAATACATGTTGGAAACGTAGAGGTAACATTTTTTCTTTGAAAAGAGAGTGTAACCGATGTCACGCGTAACTTTGTTCATCATTTATTTAAACATCCACATGCCTTACTAAACACGAGCAGGAGAATTTAATATTGGAGAACGAAAACTTGCAAATAAACTAATAAAAAAGAAAAATATTTACCTTCACGGTGCATAGTTTTACAGGCGAAAAACGAAAACGATGCCGCTTTTCAGAAGTGAAAAAGTGGATGTAGCCATTTATCCATTGGACGAAATTTATACATAAAACCTGACAAAGTACTCGACAAAATTACCTCACATTAATGGCAGAAACATCAACCACAAGTGCACAATGCAACTAACGAAACGTAGGAGCACTCACAGGTATTAACACTGTAATAAACACGTAAACGCAACACGCACAGGAAACGGTATGACAATAAGTTTCGCGATTGCAGAGAGCATTTTACCGTTTGAATCATCGAGTTATACTATGTAGATGGAAAGATATGATTTCTTCAATTTTTTTCGAGCGAGCATTTTACCATTCCAATCAGCGACCGATACACAAAAGAGCCAATAAATTTTTTAATCGAGCAAGGCTCGAAGTACGATATTTTGAGTTTAACAGGGTGACCCTGGGCGACGAAATGATGGAACACAGGGCTCCTGTGGAACGGTGGAATATCCTAAAACGTAGAATGTCTTGTTGTTTTTCACAAAAATGGAATTGCAGTGAAATAAAAGAATATAATTTATAATTAATAGGCAGAACTAAAAGAAGCATAGTTTAATCATTGTGGGAGCCTAAAGGATGGACTGATAGAGCTAGCCCCCCCTAGATTTTTATTAATATCACTATTATTATTATTATTATTATTATTATTATTATTATTATCATTATCATTACTATTATTATTATTAATATAATTATTTGTTACTATTAAATCAGAGGTTGAGTGTCAATCAGTCTTTTTCTTATTGAATCATCTAGTTTCTTTTGTGGAACAGGATACTCTTCATAAATATGTGGGATGTGGTAGGTTTTCTGTTTTGCTTTCGAGACAAATCTTCAAGGCTACCTTCTAGCATCAATATGCAACTTTTAATTCTTTTCCATGCTATAAAAATTATGCTATATTGGTAGCCACATGCACTCTCAAACTGCTTATTTTCTTGTTTCTCTTAAGGTAAGTTTAGCACACGCGACAGAAGACAAACTACACATGAATGTTATAAAATCTGTTAAATACTAGTTAAAAGTGAAAGAAAAGCAATATCGAAAAGTGGGCTATCACAAGGTTTGCAGGTTGCCGCAAATATGTTTAAAAAGATTTCGCTCGTTGTTGCTATGAAAGGTTAATTTTCTTCCGAGATTTAGGAACTATTATCTTTCGCGTAGCAAATACCGCACCTTTGTTAGACTTTCCTGTCAATTGTTAAATAAGATAGTTAGTAACACAAAAAAGGCATGGCAGCTGAAAGGAAAATAATTTCAAAGAGTTTTTTTTTTTTTTTGCAAAAAGGATAGTTGTTTAACTTTGAGCCGAAAAGGACGATTCTGGTTAAAAGCAGGCAAAAGTTAGAGGCTTATTTAAACGGCGTTTTCATGACCTTCAGAAATATTTAGTGTATTTTTTTCTTGTTGAGCAAAGAACTCTATCAAGTGTCGTTTCATTTTGTATCCTTTTAAGGACACTTCGAATAGTGTTATAAAGTGTTTTGAATATTTGGATATCATGACCACAAGAAGTTCGCTAGTTCGCACGTGTCTCAGTCACAGACTTCAACGTTTTTCGTTTCTGAAAACTGAAAAACGTCTTCGTAATAGTTCCCTACGTAGTTTTCCTTTAGGTCTATTTGCTATTTGTTCTCTATCAACCACAATGCTGTGCTGTTTCCAAGTGTAAAATAAAGCGGATTAAAGAGTTCATTGTCATATGAGCGTGCCGCCACAACAATAATTACAATTTTAACTTTGTTATTTATTTAGATCATTGCTTCCTCTGGACGGAAGAATTGAACTGTCTCATAAACACGAGCCTTTATGGTCTACTTTGCGAGTCCAAAACTGTTGGATTTCACATGCTAAAATAAGTTGTTTGGTTTTATGAAGTGAGTTGATAACGTGAATTGGTTTCCGTATAGAGTTTATAAAGCTGACGTTTTTAGCGTTTGAATCGATGCTAGCATCAATGTCTGGCTTGAACATGTTACTCAAATATGTCCCAGAATGCTAGAAATCACATCTCAGAGAGTCTCAAATTTCAAATTTATTTGGGTTAGCAGAGTGAGTCCATTCCCTCTACATAAATGATAACGGATATTATTAAAAGTTAAAAATATTAAATATTAAAAGTTTAGAACATCGACGCATAGAACAAGCACTTATACTTGTATATAAAAGTATTCATAACCAGACACCGAACTACATTCAGGAAATGTTTTCTCTGCGAAGTAATGGTTACAGCCTACGTGGCCATCTTAAGGTTGTTCTTCCAGGACCAACCTCATCTTATATGCAACATTCTTTTACGTACCAGGCTAGCAAACAATGGAACAATCTGACAGACAAAATAAGGATGTCGGAATCCCTTTCTATATTTAGGAAAAATTTGCAAGACATACAGTTGTCCTCATCGTGTGACTGCAGCTGTTTGTTTTGTAAACAAATAGTCTAGTCACCGATATTCCCTTTTGTTAAATTATTGATTACTTTAATAGCAATTATTCATTCTAGATAATTAATTTTTATTTCTTACCTATTACTCATTACTTATACATGTAAATTATGTCAATTTTTATGGCACATTTGCATTTAAACGAGCTATTCGCTCATATGCGATATGTGGTTAAATAAAGTTACTTACTTACTTATGGATGACCTCAAATGAATTGCTGTCATTAAAATCGTCAACGACCAATCAGGAGTTATAATGGTAACAATCAAAGCAAAGGGCGGTGATATGAACCAATTGAAGCACCGCTTTTAGGTCTGGTATAATTTATGTATTGTTCAGTATGTGGAAAAGCTTTAACAGCTCCGTGATTTATTTCCATGGGCCTATAAAATATCGGTAAGGCGAATATAACCCGAAAGAAGAGGCTGGTTGCTGTGCGCCCATCCGACGTTTACAACAAGAATGGCAAAGCTAAATAATGCAGCAGATATTTAACGAATTTAAGAAAATAATGACGCTGAAGATGACAGAAGAACTGTCGAAACATGTTTTTTAATAAAAGGGCAAAGGGCTCTTGGAGCCAGCTCATTCATGTTATGCCTTGAGTTTGTATCGATTTCTTGGACTTGTTGAGTATAGGTACATGTGAAATCGGTTTATGTGAAATTTCAAGACTTACGGATTAAATTGTCTTTTCTTTTTGGACAGTTATGTGATAAGAAAACTTGTGCATTTGTCGTGATGGGAGTTGGAAATAAGGTTGTGTGGACTGGAGGTGGGATGGGCAGAGGTCGTCAGGCAGATAGTGTCCTTTTTGTTGGTGTGTGGGTGTGTTTGTGGGGCGGAGGGTGGGCTGGGTGGGCATGATCAGGCATCGAATGTTGCTCTAGCAGCAAAATATTTGTAACCCTCATCTTTCACGATCATTTGCACAGTTGTGAAATATTCCTTGCCCGTTTCTTGATATCTTTTGTTTTTAACAAAGCGGCCGTTGCATTTGGTTTTTAACAGAGCGGCCACAATCGTTCTTAATAGAATTTCGAGCCTTCATATACCGTATTTACCCGTGTATAATGCGCACTTTTTTTTCCATAAAAACAAGCATCAAAATCGCGGTGCGTATTATACACGGATTCTATTGTTTGTCAAGCACGTCCTAATTTGCATACGTTAAAAACGCAACAAAGAAAGTAAAAGTGCACGGATCGGTGGCCTGGGGAGGAGAAAGAGCTTGCTTGTTTACGACTCATTTGAAGCTCATATGACAGATACTGTGAACACTTCCTTCAAACGCGAACTTCCCTTCTCCAGTCGCTCGATGTATCTTTGAACAAACCATTTAGAGATGGAGTCCGAAAGGAGTGGATGGCTGATGGAATTCACGAACTTACTGGACGACAAAAAAAGGCTTCGGAGGAACTGATCTGTTCGTATATTTCACAAGCGTAGGAAGGCATTCCATCAGAAATGATCGCTGCCTCTCTCTGAAGTGTGGGATCACAAACAATTCGAATGGATCACAAGATGAATTGGTTAACAATTCAACTGAGATCACTGATGAACTTGAGGATTCAGTCATCGAAAACCTATTCGAATCGGACTGTGAGTCGGTTTAAAGACACTGAACATTTTACTTAAATCACGCAATTGCAATGCAGTAATTATATTCAAGCTACCAGCAGTACTGTGAGTAGAAATAATGTTTATGAACGGCTGTTATGATAATAATTCAAGTTGTGAATTTAGGTAT